CTCGCTGTCTTATTAGCTCTTCACTAAGCACGTCTTTTCTTTGTTGCATCTTCTCACCAACTCCTTGATCTTCATGTCGCTTCTCTCGTCATTAGCATCGCTCATCTCGACGTCCCTCTTATTTGTCTAAGTCTTGATTATCTCCTTCGCCAGATGGTCAATCGTTACCTTTTGGTTTCTGCTTCGTTTTCCTAGGGTCTTCATCTGTTGTTCTAAGCTATTCTCACATATTTAGACCATTATTGGCTTAGTTTTAAGACATCAGGATCAGGATTAATCGAATTTTGCATTGGTTATAGAATAACAACCTCTTTTTTTGGCCCAACAAATGACTAAAATTTGACTTTTGCATCTAGGAAAGGCCATTTGATTGGAAAAATAAGTTTTTCCGATGTGAATTAAGATAATGAGTTTATATCTGACTATATCAATGAACAATGTTCATTATTAAATTCATTTTAAGCAATGAATTGAATTTAACAATTTGTTAAGCTTTGTAAAGTGAAAAATAATCACAAAAAGATAGCCATTTCAGATAACTTTTAAAGCCTTTTTGCAATTAGATTTTAAAAAGCCATCAAAAGTCATATTTTGAGCTTTATCAGATGAGCTAGCAAACCAATAAGAGAGCCTGGAAAATATAGTAAAATGTAATTTGTAAAAATAGTAACAATTCGGATTGGTATTTTGAAATATTTGCGGAAAATACTTCCAAATGGAAGAGAGGAGAACCTAAAAAAAAGTAGGGAAAAGTCATTGGTTTTACACTGAAAATGGCAGCGACAATTGCGCACAGCGGAATGAATATGTTATACACGGTCATCAATCGATTGGAATGGGGGGAGTGAGGATGAAGGATGAGGAGAGGATGCTGGCTGCTGACTGCCCCCTCTCGCAATATCCCACACATCCCTTACAGAAAGGTGAGCCCACATTGGTACTCCTCCTCTGGCATCCCTTTGGCATCTCTTTGCCACTGCTGATCCGCAATCTTTTCCATACCAACTTGAGCTGACAGAATGACTCTTGCCATTCCATATATGACAATGCAATGCAGGGAAGAAGAGGGGAGAGGTATAGGCGATGGGCAACAAGTCGTATGAGCAATATGCGCTTTATTTACAATCAATACACAGAAAGCGTCGTCGTCGTCGAACAAGTGACGCACCGTAAAGAGAGGCGGAAAAATGGGAAGCGGGGGAGGTTTTGCGGAGGAGGAAGAAGAAAAAATGAAAGGCACACACAATGGCCTGGCCCGTAAATGCCGTTATATTTTTACATGCCACACGTCAATAATACAAAAAAAAGAAAGAAAGAAAGAAAGCAAGGGAATATGGGCCTCGTCTGTCTGTCCTTTTAGCCAGGCTATATCGATTACCAATCAATTCTGCTCCTGGCGTTCCTGGCTGTGCCAATTGTTGACTTCATTGGATTGACATTCCCCCGCGGGATAAGGACAACACAAATAATGGATTACAGAGAATAGGAGGGGCTGGGCGATGAGGGGTTGTCGGAGGGGAAACCCACGAATCGCTTTTCTTTCTGCGGCTAATTAAAATGCAAATGCTGCAGCGATTCCTTTGCCAGTCAGTCAGTCAGTTAGCTAATCAAAATGAAAAATGATAAGCAAAATGAAAGAGAGGGGAAGCAGAATGGGTTGGGAAAGTAGGCAAACCTATTGAGGGGAGCTGCACTGAGAGAAAATTTGTGGGTTTTTAAAGGTAAAAAGAATGAAAATATCATAAAAGTGGAAAACTTAAGAACCTAATTAGGGAAACATTTTGTTGATAAATTTTCTAAAAATAAAAGTATTTTCGAGTATATTAAAAATCTTAAAAAATTAAAAATAAATTTAAAAATATTTAAAAATTTAGAATTTGGATTAACAAAATTGAAATTCTGCAGATTTTTAAGTTTTTTTTTTGTAAATAAAATTCTTTAAGAAGATCTTCAAACTATTTGTATCCCAAAAGTAGGCAATACATTCTGCTTAAGCACAGTTTTAGCAGCACTGGAAATGTAATAACATCAGAAAAGCTGAGAAATATTGAAAGAAAGTTTGGTTTCTATTTTTTCTAAGTGCATTATTTCTCAGCTTTATATGTTTGGAAGGGAGAGTGGAAGGGTGTGGTGAAGGGGGTGGGGGGGGGGTGTCTTTCCTAGATGATATATGAACCACAGCGCCATGAATAATGCGAGTGGCCGCTGCAGATAACTGGCAGCCGCAGCCATCGCAGTCAATAGCCCCGCCGTCTCCAGGTTTCAGCTTTAGCACCATCTCCCTTGGGGAGTGTTGGATGTCCAGTCACGCCTCCCATCGACCCCTCCGCCCCCCACCCCTACGAATCGCCACTGAACTTTTCCCACTTTTCTTTGCCATCCAAATTGCTGGCCATTGACCACGCAGAACAGAGCCCCCTCAAAAGCAATTCCAATGTGTGTAATTTTGCGTGAATTTATGTTTTCATTTTTTCGTATTGTTTTTGTTGTTGTTGTTGTTTTCGATTGCCTGCCGCCTGGTCGTGGTCCGTGGTCCTGGTCAAAGAGAACATGTGCGCCATTCACACGCCCAAGAGTCAGGCAGTCCTGGCAGGACCTGGGATCAGGATATGGCCATGGTCAGGTTGTTTGAAGGACCCTCCCAAGGGGGCGGGAAGGAAGGAGCAGCGTTTAAACGTTTGGTAAACGGCCATTAGGCCAACGGCAATGGCCAAACAAAATGAAAAAAAAAAACAGAAAATAGAAAACGAAAACAGAACATTTTATGCGCCAGCAAAACAAAGAAAATTTATATATGTATTATATATATGCATGAATTGGTGGTTGAAAGATGTGGAGGAAAATCACCGAGAAAGAGGGAGGAGAAAGAGGGAGGAGTAAGAGGAGCCGGTCCAGCCCTGGGCGTGGTCGAAAGACAATGAAAGATAATTCAGGACTCGAACCGAATGAGTTCAGCATTTGCATATGCAAGAGGAGGAATAGGGAGGGTAAAAGGAGGGAGTGTGGTGGGAGTAGGGGAGTACATAGAAATGTAGATAATGAAGAGGTCATTCAGGGAAAACCCCTCCTCTAAACAGCATGCCGACACCCCCCACCCTCACGCCACCTGCATCACTTTCCAAAAACGGCAATCAATAATGAATGAATAATTTAGCATCGATGATTTCATTAGTCGCTGCAGCAGAGAGTAAATTGATTTAGAAGCCAACAGTGAGAGCTAAATGTGAGGTGTATATAGGTTTATATATTGATATATAGGTTTATATAAAGATATATATGTTTATTAAGATATAGGTAAGCTAAAGCTGCAGCTATGTTATGTACTAAGTTGACAAGCCTGCTTTTCTAGGTTATCATATCTGTAAATGTGTATAATTTCGAGGTTTAATCTGCAACTTAACAAGATTTTTCTGAGATTAAAGATAGTTTTTTCTATAATTTATAACTAATATAGTAACAAGGTTAACTTAATGTTTATAAGAACTCTTTTTGGTGTTCTAAATTTAAGATATTTATGTTATATTTTATTAACTTATAATGTTCTTTAAGTCAAAACTGCTTTTAAAACTACTTTTAGGTCTTTAAAAAGTTTAATAACTTTCCTTAGGGTTTCAAAATATCCTCTTTATAAGCTAAAACTGCATTTCAGACAACTTTCAGGCCTTTAAACTTAACTTAAATTTATTGAATTCTTAAAGAAAATGTTAAAAACTTATCTTAAGTCTTAAAAATATCCATTTTAAAAGTCAAAACTGCATTAAAAACTTCTTTAAGGCCTTTAAAAAAGTTTAATAACTTCCCTTAAGTCTTAAAAGTATCTTCTTTGTAAGTCAAAACTGCTTTAAAAACAATTTTCAAGCCTTAAAACCTTTAAGATGCTAGCTTTTTGACCTTTTTTATAATTTCATTTTATATAATACCTAAAGAAAATGTTTAAAAACTTACCTTAAGTCTTAAAAATGTACGTTTTATAAGTCAAAACTACATCTAAGATTACTTTTAAGCCTTAAAACTGTTTAATAAGTTTTCTTAAGTTTTTAAAAGTATTCTCTTTGTAAGGCAAAACTGCATTTTAGACTAATTTCAGGTCTTTAAAACTCGAAAATTCTAACTTTTTAACATTTTTTAATAATTAAAATCTAGTAAAAATCTAAAGAAAAAGATTATAAACTTCTCTTATGTCTTAAAAATATCATTTTTGTATGTCAAAACTATATTTAAAACTTTTTGTTAAGCCTTAAAAACTTTAAAATTCCAAATTTTTAACACTTTTTTATAAGAAAGTTCTGGGCAAAACTTAAATAAAGTAAAAAATCTTCCCTCAAGTCTTAAAAATATTCTTTTTATAAGTCAAAACCTCATTAAGGTCCATTTTTAAGCCTTTAAAATTTGTATTACATTTTTCTTAAGTCTTTAAAATATCCTTTTTGTTGACCAAAACTAGATATCAACTTACTTTTAAGCCTTAAAAATTGGAAAATTCTTAATTCTTAACATTTTTTATAACAAAATTTTAGGCTAAGTCAAAGGAAAAAGTTGAAAACTTAAAAATAGCGAAATAAAATAACTTTTCTTTACTTTAAGTCACATTTTCCTGGTCAAAATTGATTACAAAAAACGCAAACCTTTGATTATTTAATTTAATTTGCTTTTTATCAACCCCTCCCCCGTCTATCATCGATAAGCCTTTAAATCCTTTTTGCTAGTCGTCACTCTCCACACATTCACTGACAGTTTTTAAGAAAAATAAACATTTGACAAAATAAGCCATTGTTGTTTTGAAACGCACTGTACCAGAGTTTGAATGAAACAACACATGAATTTATCAGCTCAATTGAACAAATTTTACTATATATATATCGTAAATATATATATATATATATATCTTCTGACTATCATAGCGCACCTCCCAAAAATAATTCACTGGCACCTTGTAAATATTTCGAATGGCGTATAAAAATTTAATCCACTTCGATTTTCTGTTTTGTTTCCATTTGCAGTCACAGAGAAAGAAATACGTCAATGGTGAGTTGGCATTATAAATGTGTGGTATCTGTGAGATAGATAGATAGTAATTGAAAATATATAATATATATTTTTTGTATCTTTTGAAAAAAAAAAACTTCATCAAACTAGGCACAAAGGATTCCTGAAAGACTGTCCCAATGGCCTGCTCACAGAGCAAGTATGTATCTTTCAGATATTGGTTTAGATCTTACTTAAGGTTTAAGTATGGTATAAATTGGCCAAAAACCACCTGAGCGTGGCCAATTCATTTAAGTCAAACGGTTAATTAAGTTCATTTTCCGCCGTCTTGCACTCCTACCCCTCTCTCGGCTGGATTTATGTTTGCTAATTTCAGGGTAAGCAGCAGCAACAGCAGCAGCCGGCTAATACCTATACAAAGATGGGGTTGTTTAGGTTAGTGGTGGTGGAGGGGCGGCAGCATTGTTGGCCAAATGTGTTGACGACCCTTCGACTGCTAATGACATTTGCCTTTGTACATGTTGATGTTGGCTGCTGTTGCTGCTGCTGCTGCCTGACTGCCTTTGTTGCTTTTCTGTTTTCTGTTTTCTGTTTTCCTTTTTTCCCTCTTTTTTTCCCCTTTTCTTGATAATCAAGTTTATTAATGCCAAGCATTATTCAGCCGATAGCTCCTTTCATCGACATATGCTGTGCCACGCCTCTAATTGATTCATTTACATTTGTCTTTTGCCGCCCTCTACCTTTCTACCGCCCCGGCCGTTTTCGCCTTTCTTTAGGGCTTCATCAAAATCTACAAACAATTCTTTCCACAAGGCGATCCCAGTAAATTCGCTTCGCTGGTTTTTCGTGTCTTCGATGAGAATAATGTGAGTATGAAAAAGAAATCTCTGTTTTTAGAGAGAAAACAAAAATCTGTCTTAGAAAGAAAAAAGGGGGCTGAACACGTCGGTTTTTGTTACATTTTTTCACAGAATTTTTTAGAATTTTTTCTTAAGAAATTTGTTTAAAAAATCAAGCAAAATTTCTAAGATTTCTTATTAAAAGCCTTAAAAATATTCATAAAATTTCAAAAGTATTTAAAATTATTATAAATTTATTTTATTCAATAATTTAATCAAAAAAAGTAGATTTAACTTCTCAAATTTTAACTTAAATTTACCTTTTAGCCAACTATTTTCTTACTTTTTCTCGTTAAACTCAAACTACAAATATTAAAGTATGTAAATTTTTACCAATTTATCTTTATATTGTGCTCTGAAAAAAGGCGAAAAAGAAAAACACAATTTTCGGTTTATTTTCTTGTGAGTGCGCTGACGTTGGCGAAAAATGTCCTGGCGACAGGACAACAGCCACAAAATAAACTGATTTTAGCAGGTTAATGTCCTGCTCTTACCGCTGGTGTTTCCTTTACCCCCGCCCCACCCCTCCGACTTGGTTTATGGCATGGGCGATCATAAATTTTCGGTGGGAGGCAGAGCCTTTTGTTGTTTTTCGTTTTTATTATTTATGGGCGCCCATGGGCGTGGTTCAGCCCTCTTCAAAAAAAAAAAACAGAAAATATACCCACAACCCACAGAATGTCAACTGTCTGATGTCTGCACTGATTTGCTTTCTTTGTCTTTCTGCGCGCGTGTGTGTGTGTCTCTCTACTTCTGCCTGTGTGTGTGTGTGTGCTTTCTTCTCCCTTTTTCTTTCTCTTTCCCTCTCTCTCTTTTTTCTCTTGCCTTCCCTTTCCGCTTTTATGGGTCTTCAGGATGGCTCCATTGAGTTCGAGGAGTTCATACGCGCCTTATCCGTCACATCGAAGGGCAACCTGGACGAAAAACTGCAGTGTAAGTGATGGTTTTTTTTCTTCTCCTCTTTTCTTTTAAACAAGAAAAAAACCTTTTTAAAAAAAAACCATCAATCGATAAATATTTTTATCACTATTTTGGTTTTATTATTTATGGCTTGACCACAGGGGCCTTCCGTCTTTACGATGTGGACAACGATGGTTACATAACGCGAGAGGAGATGTACAACATAGTGGATGCGATCTATCAGATGGTGGTTAGTACAGATTCTAGTTCTAGAATTTGCATATTTATCGATTGCGTTATCGATTTTTGTACAAATTTTGCTATTATCAATGGTTTTTGATTTTTCTCCATAGTTTTGCTGTACAAAATTTGCTTTTATTTTGAGTTTGCTTTCGCCTTTTTTTGTCCATTGATAATATGATCGATTTTTGTAAAATTGATCGATTGTCAATTGTTTTTTGCTTTTTATCGATTGTTTTGCCTTAAGAACTTGTATTTGTTTTGAGTTTTCTTTCGCCTTTTTATATAAAAAGTGATATATCGATCGATAATATTATCGATATAATCGATATTTGTAAAATTAATCGATTGTGCATTGCTTTTGCTTGTTATTGACATTTTTGCTTTACAAAACTTGAATATCCTTTGAGTTTTCTTTCGCATTTTGTAACACAAAAGGGATTAATCGATTAATAACATCATCGATATTATCGATATTTGTAAAATTCATCGATTAACCGTTGTTTTTGCTTGTTATTGTTGGCGCTTATGAGTTTCTTTTGCTGTTTTCTTCGTTTCATTTCGCTTGCTGTGACCTTTGATTAGTTTTTTTGTTAATAATCAAAGTTTATTTGATGATTAATCGATTGTGGCTTGTTCGATGTTTTTTGATATGAAATATTGAACTTGTCTCTCTTGTCCTAATTCTCTTCTCTATAAATCGTATTTCCCCAAAAAAAAAAAACAAAAAACAATAACAGGGACAGCAACCGCAATCGGAGGACGAGAATACGCCGCAGAAACGAGTGGACAAGATCTTCGATCAGATGGATAAGAACCATGATGGCAAATTAACATTAGAAGAATTTCGTGAGGGTAGTAAAGCTGATCCACGTATAGTTCAGGCGTTAAGTTTAGGTGGTGGTTAAATCGATTTAATAATGCCCCCGTTTACGAGAGATATACCAGACCCAGATTCCAATTCCACACAAAACAAAAAAAAAAGAACGCGCAATACCCCGAAAAAGAAACTTTTGATCAAAACCCCGCTATAAAAAATAAAATCAAGTAAAAATAATATATATATATATATATTAAATAAAATATAGTAAGCTGTGGGAGATATGTTGGTACAGTGCCACGCCCCCCCTTGCGCCCTTCGTTTGCATTCGCTTCTTCACACTTCACACTCTTTCTCTTCTCTCAACGCTTTTCTCAATTCTTGATAAACCCCAATTTCTCGATTCTCCGCGCGTCGCTAGCGACACTGAAGATGATAATAATTTTTTGATATATGCATAAAACGAGATGGAATAAAAAACCAAAAACCAAAAACCAAAAACCAAAGCAAAACGAATCGAAAATGAAATTAATTTTTAAATATACACCAGTATATAAAGATATATATATATATATATAGGAAAAATCATGGCGTAGTCAGAGCGCAGTTCATAGCAATAATGGAAATAAAAAATTAATAAATAAAAACAACAAGGAAAGAAAATATATATAAAAAAAAACTAATTTAAAATCGAAATCGAAAGGCGGGAGGCGGCGTGAGGCGTACGGCGCGAGGCGTTAGCCGTTAGCCGTTGGGCGCCACAAATCAATTTTTGAAGCATACACCAATTACGAGTAAACTAATTAAACCTACGAGTAAATCAGCATAATTATACTATACAAAACTTAAACTAAACAATTAGAGCCGAAACTAAGCCTACGAATCAATTTGTGCAGCGCCTTCAAAGCAGTAAAAGCAGAAAACAAAAAACAAAAACAAAACATAAAACTAACTATTTAAGGGAGTTATCTAAACTCGATCCAAGTCAGCTAATTTCACTCACGACAGCCAACAGCAGCAGCCACTAATATCTACACCTTAAAGATATATATGCTATATATATATATATATAGTTACATGTATGAATCTGAGAAGAATGTGGCCGCAGACGGGGCAAACAGAGTTCAGAGTTTAGAGGGGGGATGGCTACAAAAGCAGGAGAAGGGGAGCTGGTTAGAAAGATACTAAAGACAAAAATTCTAGAAATTCCTTTGACTAAAGTGAAGTTTATGTAAGAGAAAGTTAGCTAAACTTGTATTTCCTAGTAAAAATGGCAATGTTATTTATCTTCGATAAATACCTATGATAAATATCGATAATTTATTTATTATAACACAAAATATATATTATATGTCAATTTTATATCAAAACGTAACAGCATAATCCCTGATTTCTTGCAAAATTTGAAACTTATACTAAAGCATAAATCGATTTTATATCGAAAAATTGTTATCGATAGTTTTCCAAACTGAATTACCTAACATTTTAACTATATTTCTATATTTCATTAATATTCCGATAACTAAACTTTCGATATTTATCGATCCCTTTAACTTGATATGCAAATCAAGTTTTTAAGGTTAGTTTTTGTGGTCTAAAAACCCGCTTTCTAGGTCAGTCGCAGCATAAAACTTAACTCGGCAGTTTCAGCAGGCTTTCTCTTCTGTCTTACAATCATGAAACGCACTTTCACGAACTACCTAACCTAACCAGCTCCCTTCGATAAGACAACGAATTCTTGACAGATTCAAATGCAGTTTTTTCTTGGCCAAAAACCATATTTAAACAAAGAGTGTTGCATACCCGAAAGGCGCAGTAAAGAAAGTTGTTTGCTTACGTTTTGCTATCGCTCTATCTCTGTTTCTACCTCTCTATCTCGCTCTCTATATATATATCTCTCTATCTCTGTCTATCTAACTGTATTTCCTGCTTTGCCTTGTTTTCCGTTAAGCGTTGTATGTACGTTTATCCAAACCCCCAAACCCCCCCCAAAGAAAAACAACAACAACTACAACAACAACAACAATGACATGCAAAAAAAAAAACCCAATAAGAAACCATATTATTACAATAACAACAACAAGAACAACACGAACAATAGGCGGAGCAGGATAAAGCAGAAGCAAAAAAGAAGAAGAAAAATGATAGAAGAAGAAATAAAGGATAAACGGAAAGGTCTTGATAAAGAAGAAGAAGAAAAAGTTGAATTATAAACCAGAATTAGCTGCAAAATGATGGCATTAATAAATAAAAAACTAATCAAAGAACGCACAGAGAACAACAACAACAACAACAACCAGAGCCACATCAACAGCCAGAACATGAACAACATATATATATATAATATAGATATATATATATATGATATATATATACAAAAGAAGGAACAAAGTTGGTGCAGTTAGGATATATATATATTATACCTTATACCGAGTATAACAACAAAATCCATCATACGATTTAATTTCTATTCTATATGCGGTTCAGCTTTATTATTGCATTGATTTTTCAATAAACAACCAGTCGAGAACAACCGTTTTACTATTCCGATGACTATTATCTATATATTAAATATAGAGAAAATACCAATTAATCAATCACCAACCCCCCCCTCGATACACCACCCCCACAAGGCTTTCTCACGCCCAACTATCTAGCTCTACCTAACAGACTACCCTACCCTTTGCAGTAGCCTCTATGTAATCTTAGATATGGGAGATGTTATCGAAGCACTCTCAACCACTCATACACTCTCACTTACACATACACAAACACACACACACCCACATATATACTGTATAACTATATAGTGCCTATGTATATGTAGTAGTAATTCTTATGATTTCGCCTGCTTTGCCTTCTTTAATGAGAGAACATTCCTAATTGATCGATAATAATCGTTTATCATTTATCGTTTATCGTTTATCGTTTATCTTTTCCTATGCTTTCCATGTATTTAAGCACCAATCTTAAAAAAAAAAGAAAATGAAAAGTTTAAACACAAAATTTAAAAAAGAAAATGCCATGCAAAAACCAAAGAAATACACAAAAAAGCAAACACACACACACACACATATATATATATGTATGTATGCATATATATTTAGTACTATATATTACTATATACTACTATATATATATATGTATATGTATATGTATGTATATATGCCTAAAACTTATATATACTCTATATAGTTAAGCACAGCAATCGAAAGCAAGTTTAAGGAACTATAACGAATACCAAAACGCTTCTATAAACCTCACTGAAATTCTTCAAAGAAACTGAAAGAAAAGAAAAAAAACCATAAAGAAAACCAAAAATATATAAAACACACATACAAACACACACACACACACCAAACTTGTACGAGTATATATATTTAACAATAAACGTAATGCGAAAACTTAATCAATAATTAAATAAATTCGAAAGTGATATAGCTGACAAAACAAATGTGTCTGTAGTCTAGTAGTTAAAGAAAAGAAATTGAAAAAAAATATATGAAAAATAATTGAAAAATAATATATATATGAAAGTAAAAAAAAAACAAAAAACTATATAACAGATGGGAAATTCGAGAATGCAAAAGCAAATTTTCACGTTTTTTTTTGGCGTTTAAGGAAAACGCGTAACAGCAAATGAGGCGGAAGGAAAATAAGTCGAAAAATCAAACTGTAAATAACACTAAGTGAATCACGCACACCACAAAGGCAAACCACACAGACACAACAAACACACACACCTTAACATACAAACACAACCAGACACTCACACACATGCATAACGCACAGACACAGACACACACATACACTGACAAGAGAAGTAACGCATAAGTTTGTTAACACCAAAATATAACGGGTCTTAAGTAACAACAACAAAAGGGAAAAACACAAAAAAAATCTTAATAATAATGAATGAAAAATGCAAAGAAAATGCAAAGAAAAACACGAAAAAAATATATATATATGTAATCTAGAGCAAAGAATTTTTTTTGTGGATTAAATTGGATGGATGGATGGATGGGTTTGAAACGAATCAAGTCAATTCTAATAGCCGAAAGAAGAAAACCAAAAACGGTAAAACAAAGAAAAAATATTATAAAAAAATAAGCAAAATATTATTAAATATTTATATTAATTTACAAAGTGGGGGGCCGGTGATTAGAGCTTTTCCCGGCAACAACAACAACAACAACAGAAAAAAAACGAAAACCAAAAAAGAGAAAAGTCGAAGATGAGTTTCTTTCCACCGCCGTTGACAAACCACACGAATGTCAAGTTAAACGTTTCACAAGCAATATTTTACATACTTATACATGCATTATATATATATATACACACACACACGCATATATATATATATATATAGAGATATATATATGGGTAAAGTATATATATGTATCTAAAAAATAAATAAATATACGATAATAATATAATATATATACCTAACTTATATACACACACTCAGCAATAAAGAGAGTCGAACGGCAAGAAATACAAATAATAATTATAATAATAATAATAATAAAGAAAAAATATTGCAAAAATATTTAAATATTAAACAAAAAACAAAAAAACAGAAGAAGAAGAATAAGAAGAGGAATACAAAAAAATAAAAATAAAATTATAAAAACATTTTTAGTGATATTCTTTAGCAAAAACTTGAATCTGATTTTCCTTGCTAAGAACAAAACGAAATGTATAAAGTCATGAAGAAAATGAAGAAGAAAAATTCAGAGAAGGAAAAACCGTAAAATCTATAAACAAAAAACCACAATTAAAGGTCGTATATTTTACAAAAAAAAAAAAATAAAATAAAAACAACAAGAAGAAGAAGAAAAGGAGAAAGAAACGAAAGCTTAAAAAGAAAAAGAAAACGACATTTTTTTTCTCCCATTCTTAACTTTGACTCTTGACTCTTTCAGTTCGTTTGTTATCAGCTCAGCTCTCCTTTGTACTAATCGTTATTTCTCATCGATTATTATTCCGATTATTCAGATTGTTATTATTATTATGATTAAATTATAAATAAAAAACAAATTACAAGCAAAACTTAAAAAAGGAAAACCAAACACAAACACAGACACACGAAAAACTTTATAGAACATACAAAGAAAAAAAGTGTAAAACAAACAAAAAAAGAAAGGATGAAAATCAAATTCTTTTACCAAAAAGCAAGAAGCAAAAACAAAAAAACAAAAACAAAAAACTTAATTATTTTTTTTAAGTAATCGCCTAAGGGGGAAATGGAAAATTTATCTTGTTACTGTCAGAAAATATTACTTACTTCAAATAAAAATTTTAAAGCGAGTGTTTAGTGAGTGTTTTTTTTCTAATATTAAAAATTAAAAAAGGGGGCAAAGCGAAAGGCTGGCCTGGCCTGGCCACCTTTGACAGTCATTTACATAATTATTTTGATTGTGTGGTAAGTATGAGGTGGTGTGTGTGTGTGTGTGAGAGTGTAGGAAACCCCAAAAAACTTCTGGGACCTTTCCCAGGTGTGCTTTTTTTGGAAAATTCTTCTCCCATCCTCCCCTTTGGGGACTTCACTAAGTACCTTGAAAGTTTCAACTTAATTGTTGGTCTCTTAATGGGCAATGGCTTATTTGGCTTTGGCTTTGGCCCTCTTTGGTGGCCCTCTTTGGCTTTTGTCTTGTGTCTCTGTGGCAAAACTAGCGTTTTGTTTAATGGCCATTAACTGCTGCTATATGACCAGTCACACGTGGCGTATGCGCAATCAACGAAGACAGCTACATGGCGATTACATGGATTTTCACTACTCTCCCCCCTTCAATCTCTCTCTATCTTAAACCAAAAACGTAACGTATACGCAGCGTAAGCACATAAATGTATAATGTTTGCACAAAGCAAGCAACTTGAAGTGTGTCTAGTTGGTCAGGCTCTGACATGTGTGTGTGTGAGTGTGTGTGTGTGTGTTAGCAAGTTAGGTCAACTTTATTTGCCGGATTGATGTCGTACTTAATACTAATTGATGTACTTACATGTCAACTGCTGTGTGTGAGTGAGTGAGCGAGAGAGAGAGAGACGGTGCTTGGCTTGAGCGTGAGTGGTAAATTGTTGATCAAAAGATACAGTTAAATGTTGTGGGAAAATGGCAGGGGAAATATTTGATAGGGGGGGTTATTATTGTTAAAAAATAAGTTACAAAATTCTTGATTGTGTCTTAAAAAAGGAAATTTCTTTTCCAAAATTTTTAATTTCTGCAAAATGTTTCTTTTTAAATAATTTAATTTATAAAAATTCTAGGGAAGTTATTATTATGCCTAATATTAATATTAAAAATTCCTAATTAATTCTTAAGAAATATAAATCTTTTTCCTACAGCTTTAAGTTCTGGAAAAAAGTTTCTTAAATAAATAATTTAATACAGAAAAATGTATGGGAGGTATTAATTATATTTTATATTTATAATTATCATTATTATTATTATATTAAAAAATCTTTATTAATTCTTAAAGAAGAAAAAATCTTTTTTCTACATTTTTAAGTTCTGCAAAATGTTTGGTTTTTAAGTTTATTTCTTAAATTACTTCCCAGAAAGTAAGAAAATATAATTAGGAGTTATTATCCATACAAAATTAAGCATTTATAAACTCTCTTAAAAATAGGTAAAAATTAAAATCTTTAATTTCAAAGATTAGAAATATTTAACAAGGTCTTTCCTTCTACTAATTTACTAAATTACTATTTAAAAATCTCAAAATAAAATGTATTTTATTAACCATAAAATAAGCAAAGGCCAACTTACCTTACCTTACTTACTTAATATCTAAAATTCTTAACAATTTAAGTTACATAAATTAAAATACATTAATCCAGCTATTTAAAATACCAAAACCATAATAATTTAATAATAAAAGTAGTTAAAATTTTATTATTAAACATAGTTTATAGTATTTATGTTACAAAAATCTATGAAACTTAAACTTAAGAGTTAATATTTATACAAAAATGTGGTTAATAAAATTCCAAAAAATTGCCAATAAAGGGAAAATGTTAATTTCTTTGATAAATAATATTTAAAAAGTGTTTTCTTTATTAAAAGTTATTAAAAGCTTAATTAAAAATCTAAGAAATATATTTTAATTAGTAAAATAACTAAATATTAGTTTAACTTTAACCCAATTCTAAGCTAAATACCTTAATTTAGCACCTTAAAATTAACCAATAAGTAATAAGCATTAATAATAAAAGCAAAAAATCCATCAACCTCACACTTTTTCCATACGAAACTCGAAGCATTTCCCAGCTTAGGGGACGGCATTTAATTTTTCATAATAACCGAATTCTGAATTCTGATGGCAGGCGGCGGTCCTTGCCACAAGTGTTGACATTTGATAATTTTCATTTAGATGTTTTTCATTCATTTGGTTTTTCTTTTTAGGGGTTTGAGTTTCGTTTTTTCGGGGGTTAGTGGGGGTGCGCATTTTTGATTACCTTTTGCGGTTTTTGTGCGTGCCGCGAGCGTTGGAAATTGGACATGAATTAGTAATGAATTTGGCCCGCAGATGCGTCGACCGAGAGTCAGTGGCCAGTGGCAGTGGCAGTGGCAGTAGCAGTGGAAGTAGCAGTGGCAGTGGCGTCGACAGCGTGTTTATCTAGGCAGCCCAACTATTTATAATAAAAGGCTGCCAGATTAAAAACCAAAATAGAAATCTGTATCTGCAGCTGCATCATCATCAACGAAGCTCACTCTTTCTCTCTCGCTCTCCCTAGAATGTTTCTATAAAGAAAAATAAGCAAAAAAAAAATAATGGCAAAACAATAGGAAATTTTTACATGGCTGCTTGCTGCCGTGAGCCGACCCCCTGCCTGCGTACGCCCCTGACCTATACCATGAGAATAAATAAACAGTAATTATAATTGGCCTGTTTCGGATTCGAGTTCGATTCTTTTCGGCATCGAAATAGGAATTGGAAATGCTTTGAGAGTGAGTGAGTGAGCAAGCCAGTTGCCGGGCGTTGTCGATGACGCGGTAGGAATACCCCGCCCCTCCCTCTACTAGGTGCGCCCATTAAAAACCCCGACCCCCCCTCTTATGTAGGAAATATTATGAATTTATTCTTCGCACGTTTAAGTTGGCAGAAACTACAAATTGAAATGGGGAATGAGAATGAGAATGGGAAATGGGGAATGGAAATGGGTTGCTGGGTTGTTGTCCGTCAAGTGATCACCACTTGATCATGATCAATGGATCAGTAGATAAGAGAAAGAGAGAGAGAGAGAATGCGATCAAGGGAAGTACTTCAGCTAATGGCTGCTAAACATAACTTAAGAGACTTTGCAGTAGCAGCAGCAGCAGCAATTACTGATCATTTTAGAGAACCAATCAATAGGGTATACGATTATATATCGGGTATATATAACATATATATAGGGTATATATAACATATATCTATATCTAGTACTTGTAAACTTACTGATTCACGAGAACAAAAACAATCCATTTAATTATAGATTATATTCGATTTTTTTTTTCGTGTTTTGAAAAAAAGAAAAGAAAAAGAAAAGAACAAGAAAAGTATTCAATACTAGAAGTTTAGGAATTTGAACTTAAATACTTTGTAGGCAAATAAAATACCCTGTAAATAGGAGGCCACTATAAGTAGGGGTAGGTAGGTGGGAAAGCCAAGTGTGAACTTTTAATATCGGAAATTTCTTTATATTATTTCCGTTTTTTATGTTTTCTATGCTTAATTCTGGGCAGCATTTTTTAAATTTTATTGCGGAATAAACGTTTGGGTTTAGGTCCGAAATTATCTTTTAAGACTTTTCGGTGGTTTCCCAGAAGAAAAGGTACTAAAAAGCTTAACAGATTGCTGCTTTAGTTTTGGCTGAGGTGGGACAATGGGATATATAGTGTTGATATAGATATTGAAATTAGATTTTGGTTTTTTTTTGATATGGATTTTCATGATGATGATTTCATGATGTTTTTGATTTAAATATTTTTGATATTGATATTTTTGATACTGATATTTTGATATTGATATTTTTGATAATAATAATTAAGATAAAAATATTTTTGGTATTGATATTTTTGATATTAATATTGATATTGATAGTGTTATATGGATAATTTTAATATGAATATTTTTGATATTTTTAATATGAATAATTTTGATATTTTTAATATGAATATTTTTGATATTGATAATTTTGATATTATTAATATTTTTAGTATTGATATTTGTGATATTATTGATATTGATACTTTTGATATTTTTGATAATGATAATTTTGATTTTGATTATTTGTGATATTGATAATATTTGATATTAATCACTTCTGATATGGATTGTTTAATATTTAAATTTTTGATATTGATTTCTTAGATATTGATAATGATACTTTTGATATTTACGATATTTTTAATATTTTTAATAATGATTTTTTTGATATAAATATTTTGATTTTTGATATATTTAATTTTTGAGATATTTTTGATATTGATCATTTTTAATATTAATATGTTTTTATTTTATATAGATTATAGATTAAAAATATTAAAATTTTTGATTTTGCTTTTGCTATTTTGATATTTTATTAGATTACTTTTGACTTATCTTTGGTAACTCATTTTTTTTTATAATTTTTTAAATATTTACATTTAAATTTTTGTTTGTTTTGCATTTTTACTTTAATAAGAAGTTATTCTTTATTAAATTTTTAAAAATATCCCATTAAAATAATTATCATAAAAGATTATTAAGCTTTTTCAGGAATGTCTGAGAATTTTTGTTATTAGCCAAAACCAAAACATAAGTAAGAAGGTATCTTAAGGATTATTCTAATAGAAAAAATAACTTAATTTGACTTTACCTTATAAAATATATATTATTTTATTTTATTTTATAATTTCAAACCATTTTTTATTGATTAAATATATAACTTAAGTACGAAAATATACTCTACTAATATCTTTTTTTTTCTTTGATATTTTTGTTTTAATGAGAAAGTTTAAAAACCTTTATTTTGGTTTTAATGAGAAAGTTTAATTAACTTTAAAGATTTCTACTAAGATTGTTAAGATTATATTTTCTTATAGTTAAACCAATTAAAAATGTAGAAAGAAAACTAACTTAAAGATATTTCCAATCCATTTAGCAAGTGTCTGCAGAGTTCGACTAGGTGTTGGCTATATATCCAACCGATCTAGAAATAGGAGCAAAACGGAAACAACAACAACTGCAACAACAGCAATAGCAAAAGCCCAATAAACGGTTCGTTTGATTTGCCTGCTGCCCGTATCCGTATCTTTATCTTTTGAATATCTGTATCTATGTAGATGTATCTCTCTATCTGCGGCTGCCGTTGTTTATTGTTTATTTGAAACCTGCCCCCCCCTTCACTACCCCTATTACCTACCTCCCCCCAGGTTATGCCTTTTGTTATTCGCCAGAAATTTTTATTATTTACTATATTTAGGCAGGCCAGGAAGGCCAAAGAAGAGGAGGGGTGGTAGGTCGGGTGCAGAGACGACTGTACCGCCGAGCTGGGCTAAATAATTAGTCACCGCCGAACCACGACAGGCGGCACCTGCAAGAAATGCAAAGTAAATTCTTCAATTGCTCAATTGCTCTGCTAATGTTGACTGCTCTGTTGGCGTTAACTGCTCAGTTGACGCCAACTGAGACAGAGACGGCAACGGCAACGGCGACGGCAACTGCGACAGAGGCCCAGGCCATTTGGTGGGGCTGCTGGTGGCGGCATTCGATTGCCATTCGCACAAGTTGCATGTTCGCGACTCGATTTTTGGTTCGGTTTTCGGTTTTCCTCATTGTTTTTTTTTATTCGGTTTTCCTTTATTTTGTATTATTTTTTCTAAATTTTTTTCTGGTTTTTCTTGTTGTTGCTTTTGGGCCCCTTGCGTGCTCTGTGCATATTTTAAATCACTTCCTCAACGAAACAAACCTTTTTACCACCCACTTTTAGGGCAAAAGCAACCTTTACAACACCAGTGAAGAATTCTAATTAAGTGTGGGCGCGCTAATGCGTTAAACGCTTCTGCAATTTGTTTTTCCAAGCCGCAGAGAAGTGGAAAGAAGAAAAAGGAAGAAAAATAACATTTATAATTACACTTAATCAGGTTGATTACTGTCAACGCGGCAAACAGGGAGGGGGGATAAAACCAAAGACCCACCGCAGCGTTCGATGACCACACAAATGAGTGCCAGGTATGTAGCGTCGGCGTTTCCCTTCCCCCAAAATAAACAATATTAGACGGGAGTCCCTTCCCCTCTTGCCCAGCAAACCAAGCCAATAATTAGGCAGATTCACTGTGGCAAAGAGGTAGAAGGTGAAGGAGGGAGAGTGTTGGTTTTGGATTTGGATTGGTTTGGCTGTGCCATTCGATTTGCGGTCCACGTGTGGCTGGCATTATCTTTGGGCACAAACTGTGCGGTGGTTATATTACAGCAGTTGGTGTGGGCCTTTTAGAGCCATGACTTTGTGCAGTAATCCGTTAACCATTATTTATGAGCAGAGAGAGAGAGAGCGATTTGCGTCTTGCGGTTGGCAAAGTAAACCTAAGATGCTTAACCTGCGGTTTCGAAAGCCACTTAACCGTGATAAGTTTTTGGTCAACAGAAGTGTATTTCTGGCTCAGACTTTAAGTAGTGTGATCACTACTGGTGTTTGAAAATCAATAGTGGTTATAGAGTTCTTTAGTAAATATTGTCTGCTTAACCTGTGGTTAAGATAATCATAATTTTTGGTCAACAGAAGCGTATTGAGGGTGCAGGCTTTAAGTGGTGATCATAAAAGATATAGAAAACTATAAAAAAGTATGATTATTCTTAGTAATAAAGAATAGCTTAACCTGTGGTTAAGAAAAATATGAAAAAACATGATAAAACTTTAGGTATTGATCTTAGAAAGGTGTGAAATTCCTTGCTTTTCATAAAAGTATCAACAAAGCTCGTAGGAAAACTGATTTGCTTAACCAGTGGTTAAGGAATCCACAAAAACGTTGTTTTTGGTTAACAGAAGTGAAGTCAATAGAAGTATTTGAAGGTGGAAGGAAGAAGTTAGTGATCAAAGTGAGGTAGAAAAATCCATAAGAATCCAAAAATTCTTGATAAAAAAAAAACTGCTTAACCTGTGGTTAAGAAAAGCATGGAAAACATTCAAAATTTATGGTCAACATAAATGAGTTTAAGTCAAATAATAATTTGTGATCATAAGCAATGCCAAGAGATTTAAAAAATATATTTGCCCAGAAGTTTTCTAGGCTTTCTCTTAACCAGTGGTTAAGGAAATATAAAAAAAGCTTTTAAATTTAGAAAAAAAATCACAAACACGATGAATATTATCGAAAGTAACAATTTATGGAAAAATTTGCAAAAATATTCGGAATTTAAAATATTATATTGGCCAAAATTGAAGTCTTCTACTAAGATTTCCTAGGGAGTTTAGTCTAGTTCATAGTGAGCTGAATTTATGTGCTGCAAGCAGATATAGCAAATCCGTCTGTACATGACAACCTCTGGCGATGGATTTGGCGGCTTGCCGCTTATTCGAAGCTCAAGATTCTTTTGCTTGTAATGCGCCCGAAGGATACGTCTACGTGTTGAGGTTTCTGGTAGATAACCGATCATTAGAAAGTCCACCAGCATACGCCAGTGAGAGGCTGTCGTTTCCAGAGCTGCCACAAAGATGACAAACGATGAGATCAGTCGAAAGATATCGAAAGCATAGCCATTCAAGAGCATCGAGCTAAAGCCTGGTATATAGCTAAAGATCCAGGAGCCCCATTGAGCTCGTCCCAAGGCACAGAACAGCTCCCGGCTGAGGCCCAAGAAGGGATGCCATATCTGACGATCTAACCACTCTGTTAACTGCAGCATCAACATCATCTCGGCCAGAAGCATTAGAAAGCGTACACGATGACGACAGCGTCGTACCCAATAGGGTCTAAACTGTACAATGGCCAAAAGTGTTCCGCCGCCAAAGAAGATTCTCGACCAGCGTTGATTATCGCCTGCAGGGCATTTGTTAAGCGGATCCAATGGTGATACAGGATCGCAGGCCAAGAGATGCCATTGATTCCAATGGACCAGTAATCCAGTGACCAATATTAACCAGCTCTCGTAGAGATCACGAAGTATTTCCCCTGTAACGCTGCCCTTTCGTTGGTTTTTCATTTTTTGATTTGAATATTAGAAAAGAATTAGTAAGGAAATCTCCCATCGATTTGATGATGGTCAACGTAAAAAGTTAGAAAGTGATTTTTGTAGAAAGGTTAGTCAGCGTTTGCTGGGTTTTTTGAGATAAATATCTTTGGGTTTTCTTAGATATTGATTAGTATATAAGATATATAGTATATATATATGTTTTATAAATTTAACTTTATTTACTTTAAAACGTTCCTTTAAATGAGGCAACAGCTGAAAAGTCTGTACTAGCACAGGGCAAGTGTTTATGCATCGTTCATGCTTTTTGTTTTGCTTTTTTTTCTCTGTCTATCTTTTTCTCTCTCTCGCATTCTATGTGTGCCACAACACACACACACACACATGAGCACATTGAGGTCCCGAGGCCTAATGGCTGCCACAGTGGAGGGTGTAGTTAATTTTATGTTTTAAAAATATTTTTTTAAATATTTTAAAGTTTGCTTGAAAAATCCTTTTTTATTATGAGATTTAAGAGGAATTTTTGTTGAAAAAGTTAAGGCAATAGCAGAATATTCTAAATTTTTATATGAATTTTTTTATATTTTTAAAATATTTAAAAAAATTTAAAAGTGTCCTAAATTCTGCAGTTTAGTTTTGATATTTTTTTTAACTGAAATTTAAGTACAGAAAAGTCGATAGGAAAATTCAGGGAAGAACAATCATTCCAAGGAATTTATATTGCATATTTATTTTACTACAAAATGTAAATTTTTAAAAAATTTAACACATTGTAAAACTTGCCTTAATATTAATATTTTTAATTTTAAGATTTATTAGGAATTTTGGTTAAGAAAAAGTCAAGTTAAAGGTAGAAAAATCTCTCCTATGAGCATATTTCTTTTAATTTTAATTTATACAATAATATATTATATATTTTAAAAATATTTTTAAAAATTTAAAACTAGTTTAAATATTTATCTTATTTATTTTAAAGATTTATTTAGAATTTAGTTTGAAGAAATTTCTGTTGGAAAAGTCAAGTTAAGGGTAGAAAAGTCTATTTATTGGTAATGTTTTTTGGCTTTATTTTTATATAAATATTTAATGTTATAAAAATTTTTTAAATTTTATTAAAGTTACCTAAATAAAGCTGTTTAGTAATAAGATTTAATAAGAATTTTAAGTAAAGAAATTTTTAAAAGAAAAAGTCAAGTTAAAAATCTGTTTTATGGGAATATTTCTGCTTATTTTAATTTTTATATTAATATTACACATTTTAAAATTATTTAAAAAATCTAAATCTTATTTAAATATTTCTTTTAAATGTTAAGATTTTAAAGGAATTTTTAGGTAAAGAAAATTCAGTAGAAAAAATCAGGATAAAGTTGGAAAAATTTATTATTTTAATTTCTTTTTTCCATTTTTACTGGTCTATAAATATTTAATATTTTAAAAACTATTTTTTTTACGAATCAAATTTCAAACCAGAGCTTTTCCATGAGTAATTTCCTTGAAGTTTTTCTTCAAAAATAAATAATTACAACTTGATATTTTCCTAATTACTGCACTTTCCTGTTTTCCTCACTAGTTTTCTTTTTTTTTTCTACTTTCGCTAAAGGCGTTGCCTCCAAGGTGTCTGGTAACTAACTACAACTAACCCCATCGTGCCATCGTGCCACCGTGGCGCACCACCCCACCTTGCACCTATGTATGTTCAACTACCAGCTAGTGCCCCTCCTTACCACCCACCGCCACCCCCTTTGTCGCCAGCTCGAAGTAAACAGCATTCGAGGGTAGTGTAAACAATCATTGACCTCGTTCATATTTCTTGGAGCGTTCGCTCATTTGCCTTTGGCCCGAGTCCCAGACGTTGACTCTGCCTGGTCGCAATTAAAATTGTTGTTTAGCTAGTTGCCTCGTGGACGATGTTACCCCCCCTCTTGGTTACCCCCAAGTCACCCACTACTACCCCGCCTTTCGCTTCCCATAACCATTCCATAGCTGCGACGGCGGCGGCGGCATTTGGGCACCAATTAGCCGACGAGAAAAAGGCAAAAATCTGATTCTATTGCGATTTCTCAGGCTCCGGGAAATGATGATGAGCATAAAGCACAAAGGCAAGAAGCCAGAAGGAATTAGGATCTGGAAAAAAAAGAGAAAAAAAAAATAATAAAAACGCCCAAAGACCCGAAAAGAGCCAAATCACGATAGGCTCAATGGCCAAAAGACACAGAAAAGTGAAACAATCAGGACTTTTGGTTAAACGGGAAAAAACCGAATTTCAAAATACGCTTTTTATGTTAGTAGTTAGTTAGTTTTTAATGGGTTTATAGAGTGGGGTGGAAGGAAAGTTTCTGAAACTGAAAAAGCTACTTAAGGGAAGGGGATTTTAGGGGGAATTTTAAACTGGAAGTTTGAAGGGAAAAAGATGATAGAACTCCAAAGGGGTATTTGAAATGCTTTTTTTTTTAAGCTAGAAAAATGCTTAGAACTTAAAAGTTCTTAATAGCAAGGCCTAAAATGAAGTTTAATAAATACTTTCGGATAAAAAGTAAAAGATTTTCTTTAAGTTTCTCAAAATCTTAGTTAAGAATAATTCTAGGAAAAATCACTTTACTTTCCCAGCTTCATCACCAAACTAAAGTACCCAATTTTTACCATCTCCCTCGAAAGAGCATCATCAAACTTCTGCCCCAGGCTGATGATGCTGATGGTGATGGTGAACCAAGAGGCAAGTTTAAGCGTCTTGTTTGCAACCAGGCCATATTCCATATCCCTTTTGGCTTGGCCTAGCCTGGCCTGGCCTGGCCCTGGTCTGGGTCTGGGTCTGGGCATGAGCTTGAGCCTTAGCCCAATATCGAGGCAGGCAATCAAGGATAACGCGCATTATCCCGAGGCCCACACATGTAGGAAAAATTACTGGGGGGTCAGAGGGGTTGGAAATTGGTATTTCAATGTATCACTGTGTGTGTGTGTGCCTATGTGTGTGTTTAAGCGTCGCTGCGACGCCAGCATAGCGCTGGTTTAGCATTTTTATGTGTCCCCTCCCCTCCCCTCCCCATCCGAACCGTCCTATACCGCCTCGAAGGAATCACTCGCCACCATTCCCTGGCCTACAAAGACATTATGTAGTTGGCTTTATCGCAATCGATTTGCCAAACACAATATGACGTCGACCAGGACCCACTACCCAGTACCCAGTACCCAGCACACCCATCATCTAGCCAAGAAAGATCCAAGAAGACGAAGACGACCGACCCAACCATGAACGGGACCAAAGTCAATGGCAATGACAATGGCATGGACCACAGAACCACACATACGCACACACATATATACATTAAAGGACATAGGAGGATAGTTGGCAGGCGACTAAAGTGGCAGGGACTTAGCTTAGGGAGTTTTAGAGTTTAGTTTTTAGACAGCCAAAGGGGCAAAGTTGAATAGTTTTTGAGGTTTTTAAGGAGTTTTAGAGTTTAATTTGAGATAAAATGAATGTTTTTATTATAGTAATTTATAAGTTTTAACTATAGGTTATAGTTTTTTGTTGTTTTCTGAATGTTTAATATGATATCTTCTTAATTTCTTGGTTTAAATTTATAAATTTATATAAAACCTTCTTTTTCCCCTTAAAATATTTAAGGTTATTGTTTTAATCTAAGTTTATTTTTATAAAATTAAGCAAAAATCTGATTATTAATCTGGCATTTTTGATATGTTAATGACTTTAAACTCAACCCATAGAAAATTTCTTAAATGTTTCTCAAACCTTTCAATGATTGTCAAACTTCCCTGAAATTTCTTAAATATTTCTCAAACTTTTTAAATTTAACAATGCCTATCAAACTTTCCAATGGCTTTCAAGTTCGGTGATTTCAAACTGTTAATTACATTCCCAGTTTTATGTTTGAGCCTAAGCCCAATTTTATAGTCATAAAATGGTTATTTATATAAAGATTTTTTAATATATATTTAAATATATATTTTAAGATATATTTTAATATACATTTTTTTATTATATATAACATCCTCACCCCCCCAAAATCATTTTAAAACCATTTCCTTGTCGCCTGTCTTTTTCCCTAATATGTATTTGCCGCACAGTGGCCATTCCTCTTCCCCATTTTTTCCCTTTCCCTTTGCCATATTGTAAGATGTTTTTGTTGTAGTCAATGGAGCGACATTGGAGGCTTTTGTTTACTTGACGCTGCTGACTTTTTAGGGTCCTTTCACCGTTTATATGACGCATAAAATTAATAATAACAACAAATGTTGCAAATGGTTGGGGTTTGCCACGTTGCCACGTTGCTAGATTAGGCAGGGAAAAATCTTGAAGTAAAAATAAGAGGCAGCTTTAAGAGGCAGGCAGGGAGGGAGGGAGGTTGGGAGGTAGGGAGGGAGGTAGGTAGGTAGGGGAGGTAGATACAAAGACATCCCATCCTAATCATCAATTAGAGTTGAGTTTTGTTTTTTTTTTTAATATTTTGACAATCTGCCAAATCAGTTGCAACTTGCTCTCGAATCCCTACTCAAATATCAAGCATACGCCACGTTTACTGCTGCCGCCCTGCCCAGCCCCTGCCCTACCCCCTCAACCATCTAGTGCTCCTCAAATTCTCTTACTCTCTGTCTCTGCCTCGTCTCTGGTCTCCAGTTTTCTGATGCTGGCGCCGGCATTTGGTGAAGTGTCTGGAAGCCGTCGCCTCTGGCTGGGATTGGTTAAGGGAATGGTGGCATGTGGCATGCGATGGAAGGGTGGGTGGGTTGGTTGGGTGGTTGGGTTTTTTGGGGGTGGTGTGTGCTGTTGTCGAGCACCCGTTCACACGACACTTGAAGTGTTCGGAGCTTCGAGCTGCTCCCCCTTCTCCTCCTCCTTCTTCTCTTCTTGTTTGTTCCTGTTTTTGCCACTTTGGAAGTGCGTCTATTAATTTTCATATCGCCAGCATTTCTCAATACACTCGAAGTCCTTCGCTCATTTTTGGCTTATGAGGCACTTCCTTGTGAGTTTTCCTTTCCATTTTGGCAGCGACAGGCTCACAGGCACACTCGTCAAATTAAATAATTATGCGCTTAATTATTTTCCGGGCGGGTTGGGGTTGGCGATGGCTTGTATGCCCCCAAAAGTTCTCTCTGGGGGTGGGTTTGGAAAATGTTTAATTGTTTTTTAATTTGTATTTAAATGTGGCAGGCGGCGGCAGTGGCGGCAAGCTAATAGACAGCTGCGCGGTTCGGCATGGCGCGCGCGTCTGGCAAATATTTTTCGGGTGTGTGAGATATGTGGGGCGGATATTAAGCCAGTCTAAGCTTCTGCCACAGATTGAT